TTTGAACCATAATTTCAAAGAATACATTGAGATAATATACAATGTACATAGCTTACAAACAAAGATCTTTACATGGCTATTATTTTGGCAGTCACCCTTTCAAGCAAGCAAATCATTATTTACAGAGAAGTTTCTGATTGAAAGTGCTATTACAACATCTAATTGTATTGGATAGTTTTGCCATGCTGTGAAGTTGGCTGACATAGCACGGTCTGTCTGCTACTGAATGCCTTAAGAGATGACTATAACATACAGTAGGTGGTGAATTTCACATCATGGTGGAACCCAAATAAAATGACAGAAAGGTAGGTTTTTAATTAAGTATGTTTGTATCACAGACATGTGTGATATAGGAAGACAGCAATCATTTCTGAATAAAGGCAATATTAACAATGACAAAGTCAGCATTTATGTATTACATCTCAACAAGTGTTGCTATTAATAATTCAAAACCAATTCTAACAGGATCAAAAACTACATAAACCCATCATATGGTTTTAGAATAGAATGTTGGGATTAATGCCCCCCCCCAAACTATGTTCCTTGTTCGATGTGTGCTCCTTTTAAAAATGTGTGCATCAACAAATACTTGTTGTCAGTATTTCAGAAATGTTTTTCTCTAAAAAAAAAATAAATTTAATGACAACTTTAGAATAACACTAAAAAGGGTTGATTTTACAACAATTTGACCAAAAATATTGTCCTTTTTTTTGTCTAATCAAGAAATGATAATACATTTTACAGTTCATTGTAGTAATATTTATAATGTATTCAGTAATAATGGTAAATGTATGCAAATATATGCAAATGTATGTAAATGTATAAACCCTCCTATATTTTTAATTTATTTATTATTAAAGTGACAAGGTTTTGGGTGCTTTTGGGTCTCTCATTTTTTTTAAAGAAATAATGTTTGTAAATGTAGTTGTTCATCATTATGTTTCCCAATGAGCAGAAATTAAATAATTAAATTAAACAAAATTAATTGTATATTCTGCCCATCAGCTACCTACAGAGACATATAAGTGAAATATTCGCTTCTAAGTAATAAGAACTTGTTGTGATGTCAGGAGGATTAAACCCCATTCTATCACTACTACTGTGTAACCATGGTGACATTCCAGAGTGATTGATGTCTACCTAGACACAGTGTAAACAAATATCTTAATGTGAAAACGATTGACATAAACTCTGATGACCTTTATACGACACTGACAGGAAAACAATTGTAATAAAATAGTTGAGTTTGACAGCCAGGAGCTATTGAGTTTATGTCAAGAACAGTTATACAACTATGGTGAAATATTTATAGTTTATTGATGAGTTACTTTAACCATTCATGAAAGATTGATTTTCATGAATTTTAATTAAAAAATTTAATTTTGTAGTACTGTAAAATCTGTATTAGAAACCGCGGCTTCTATTAAAATGGTACAATGCAATAGAGGAGATGAGGCTTCTATTAGAGCATCTACACATATGAGAAATGACGAATTTTTGGTTCTCAATTATTCAAAAAGAATGGGTGCGACTTCTATTAGGGATGCCGCCTCATAATACAGATTTTACGGTAGTACAAATTTCTCTGGTGTTCTAAGTATCAGCATCTTTCACAAAATTCTGCCTTCATGAATGCTATGATTTCATCAATTTGGGTAAATTTCTAGCAGAGAAAATTAAATGGTTCACTGTATACATTGTCTAAGTTATAGATGCACATTAAATACATATAAGCTTTTATATTCAGCTATTGTGAGAGGAGTAAACAATCTTTTGCTGCTGTGGGGGAGTAAAACATACCAGTACATTAAATGTGCTTCCAATAGACCAAATATGGTATACTGTATTTTAAACTTACCCTTCCAATACAGGCACACTTTTTTAGTATTTTACTAAAATTTGTTTAAAATGAACATAATTTCCCAGTATTTTTTTGAAAAAATATCATATTTTCTTGCTGCTAAGTGTAGTTTGGAGTTAGTCAATATCAGGTCACCTACATAGCAATGGGTCTATTGATTATGTAATAATGGAAAGAAGATATTGAAACTCAGTGGCTATTGGTAGGAATGTAAACATCACATTCCATCATCAGCACA